CAAAGTTTTAAAGCTTATCAAAATCAAATATTGATGAGGACATGGAACAATAAGGACTTTCACATATTAATGGTGGGAATATAAACTGGTACAATCATTTTGGCAAACAGGCTGGAATTATCTAATAAAACTGAACATGAAAATACCCTATGAACCAGTTTATATTCACTAGATATACACATGTGTACCAAGAAACACATATAATAATGTGTCTTCAGAACACATGGATAAATAAAATGGGTAAGTAAATTGTAGTCTATTCCCACAGTGGTGGACTATGCAACAGTAAATATGAATAAATGATAGCTATAAGCATCAACATCTTATAAAATACAATATTTCGCACAAAAAAAGCCCCTCAGAGGAATATATACAGTATTATTCTCTTTAAGATATCCTAAGGCAGATAAAATTAATATGTTTAGTAATATGTACAAAGACTGTATCACAAGAAAGAAAAGCAAGGGAATTATTAACATAAAATTCAAGATACTGGTCACTCTTGAAGGAAAAAGAACAGAATAAATGGGAAAGAGGTGCATAAAGGCTGGTATGGTATTTGTATAATAACCTATTTCTTAAGTTTTGTGGTGGGTAATCAAAAAGTCACTTTATTATTATTCTCTAAATTATACTGAATGATATGACTGATAAGGTGTTTAGAAATATATACATTTCACAATAAATATTTTTAAATTAAAAGAAAATGGAAAAACAATACAATAATGAAAGGAATTAAAAACATAGGGGCGCCTGGGTGGCTAGGTGGTTAAGCGTCTGCCTTCGGCTCGAATCATGATCTCAGGGTCCTGGGATCAAGCCTGGCATCCGGCTCCCTGCTCAGTGGGGAGAGTCCGCTTCTCCCTCTCCGACTCTGTCTCTCTCTCTCTCTCTCTCTCTCAAATAAATAAAATCTTGAAAAAAAAAATTTTTTTAAGGAATTAAAAACATATATAATATCCAGAAAAAATAAGAGTTAACAATTACTGAGTGATTACTATATAAGAATGGTTCTAGGGGTGCCTGGGTGGCTCCCTTGGTTAAGCATCTGATTCGGTTTCCACTCAGATCATGATCTCACGGTCCTGGGATCAAGCCCCATATCGCTGGGCTCTGTGCTCAGTGGGGAGTCTGTTTGAGGATTCTCTCTCCCTTGCCCTCTGCCCCTGCCCCCTTAAAAGAAAAGGAATGGTTCTAAATGCTTTATATATATTATCTTTCATTCATTCTTTGTATCCTATATCATAAGATATAGTACTATTATTTGCCTCATCATTTAGATGAGAAAGCAAAGGCATAAAAAGCTTAAGCAACTCCCCCAAGGTCATACAGTCAGGAAGTGATTCAAGCCCTAGCAGATCAAGTGCAGAGCCTACATTCTGTTTGTTTACCCATAATACAAGAGTATGCATTTCCTAATAAAAATAAAATAGACTTAAAAAATACATAAAACCCATAGAAAAAATATGAAATTTTATGAGACACGTGAAAAAATGGATATATACACCATGTCCCTGATGAGACTTCATATTTTAAACGTTGAGTTCCCTCCATATTGAATACACTTATCAAGTCTAATGGAATTTTCTGGAGGATGAGCAAAGGGAGCATCTCACAAAAAACTATGTACAGTTGACCCTTGAACAACAGAGGTCTGAACTGCGCAGGTCCACTTATATGTGGATTTTTTACATTTTACAGTACTGTAAATGTATTGTCTCTTCTTTATGATTTTCTTAAAAACAATGTCTTTTCTCTAGCTTACTTTATTATAAGAATACACTACATACATTAATACATATAACATACAAAATATGTTTCAGTTGACTGTTTATGCTCTCAATAGGGCTTCTAGTCAACAGTAGGCTTTAGTAGTTAATTTGGGCGGGGAGTAAAAAGTTATACATGGATTTCTTTTTTTTTTTTTTTTTTTAGATTTTATTTATTTATTTATTTGAGAGAGAGCGAGAATGAGAGAACATAAGCAGGGGGAGCAGCAGAGGGAGAGGGAGAAGCAGGCTAGCAGGGAGCCCGACACGGGGCTCGATCCCAGGACCCTGGGATCATTACCTGAGCCAAAGGCAGATGCTTAACCAACAGAGCCACTCAGGGGCCCCTATACATGGATTTCTGACTGCACAGGGTGAGGGGTCTGGCGCCCCTAACCCCCTCATTGTTCAGGGGTCAGTTGTTTATATATGAGAAGAACCAAGATAACACTGAAACAGAAAAATACTGAAAAGGGATTCACAATGCTAAATATTATGCATATTAGTAAGCCATAAAAACAGTACAAAATAAAAAACAAACAAAACAAAACAGAACAAAACAAAACACCAGTATGGTATAAACAAAAGAGAAAGAGATCAGTGAGGCAGAAAACAAAGCCCAGAAACTGACATTAGTATATATGAGTATGCTACATGAAAAGGAAAGCATTTAAAATTACTGGGGGAAAATACATTATTTACTCAATAGTGTTGGGTCTAACCTAAAAAACAAAAACAAAAAAAGAAATTTTTCAGTTTGAATACAATTTAAGAATGAAAAATTATAAAAATGCTGAAAGTAGACACAAGCAAACATTTAAATAATATGGGGGAAGAAAAAAATCTCACACACTTGGTATCAAAGGCAGAACTAATAAACATTCACAGAATACCACATAAAAATGAACTGTGGCATATAAATAAAATGCTATGAACTGAGGAAAAGTATTTGACAAAAAACGTAAAGAATTAATATCCTTCATGAATACCTTCTCCAAATCAACAGCAAAAATTAACCACCAACAGAAAAATAAACAATTCACAAAATATGTGACAATAACAACAAAGAAAAATATACCCATTTAACTAGTAATCCAAAAACTTAAGAGGCGCTTGTGTTGCTCAGTTGGCTAAGCGACTGCCTTTGGCTCAGGTCATAATCCTGGAGTCCCAGGATGGAGTCCCTCCATCGGGCTCCCTGCTCAGCAGAGAGTCTGCTTCTCCCTCTGACCCTCCCCTCTCTCATGCTCTCTCTCTCTCTCTCAAAAATAAATAAATAAAATCTTAAAAAAAAAAAAACTTAAAAATTAAACAATGAGATAGCTACCACAGTTTTGTCTAAATACCAAATACTCAATGTTGTCAAAGTGCAGAAAAAGAAGCACTCAAATTGCTGGTCATGGTAATTAGAAGGTAAATTCTTTGGAATTTGGCAATATATATTGAAAAATTTAAAAATGGGTATAGCTTTCTAGTGTTCTACCTCTCCTACATTATAATTAAAATTTTAATCATTTAAAAGGAAAACATCCCAGGGGGACCTGGCTGGCTCAGTTGGTGGACTGTGTGATTCTTGACCTTGGGGTTGTAAGTCTGAGTCCCACCACTGGGTGCAGAGATTACTTAAAAATAAAATATTTTTTTTAAGATTTTATTTATTTATTTATTTGTCAGAAGGAGAGAGAAAGAGCGGCAGGCAGAGGGAGAAGCAGGCTCCCCGCTGAGCAAGGAGCCCGATGTGGGACTCAATCCCAGGACCGTGGGATCATGGCCTGAGCCAAAGGCAGAAGCTTAACCGACTGAACCACCCAGGCATCCCAAAAATAATATCTTTAAAAAAAAAATTTAAACATCATAGTGATCTAACATACAAATTTAAATTTAAAAATAATTAAAGTAATGAAAATCAAGACAGTTAAATTATGACATACCTACAAAATGGAATACTGTGCAGTTATTAAAAATAGTATGCAGAAAAAATGCTTTCACTACTTCAAATATTTTCTGAGTACCTATCAGTGACTGTTTTAGAACCTGGGAATAAAATAGTTCATAGGAAAAACAAGGCCCCTGCCTTCAAGAAGCTTATAATGCAAACAAATGATTAAGTTAAGATAATTTCAGGTAGTGATCAGAGCTATGAACAAAATTATTACAGAGGCAAACTATTTGCTCAATGAACAAAAAGGGTAATCATGTTAGGGGTGGAGGAAAACATAACTGAAAAGAGATAAACTCGATATACTGGAAAACAGAAACATTTCCTATCTTAAAAGATGAGTACCCACTTTCTTATTATACTGAGTGGAAACATCGCAGGGTGGTTAAAAACATGGACTCCAGATCAGAGTTCCTGGAATATTTCATCTTTCTCACCCTAATTTCCACATCTATAAATCAGGAATAATAACAGCATCTATCTCACAGAACTGTTTTGAGGACTATTACATAGAACAAGTGTTCATATAGTAACTGTTCTTTGAAGACTTATTATTAGTGGTACCTATCACTTCTATGAAGTCACAATAAACGTCTGATTATGGATAAATAAATCCTTTGGTCAACAAGAGAAAGGGGATGAGGCCAAGGCAATGAAGAGAAATGTGACTGAGAGCCACAGGAGGAATATTCAGCTGGGAGGGGACAGAAAACCTCCAGGAGGAGGTGACATCTACACAAACTTGAATCCTAAGAGGTCAGTTATACAAAGATGGAGGGAAGGGACAGCGAAGTTTCTAAGGTGAGAATATATAATTGCAAAGTATTTACAATAGATTAAGTGAAAAATGCAGATTAAAAATGTCAAGTAAAATATCACAATGTGCTTAAAATATATACACATTTTACTTATACATATAAATAAAATATAAATGCTAAGATTTATAAGCCATGCTTTAAAATTATTTCTTTTTTTTTTTTTTTAATTATTTCTTTACACGGTTTTTCACTGGTTTTGGTCTTGGTGTGAATAACTATTTTACAATTATAACTGTTAGTGTTCTAGCATGTTATTTGGTAATAAGGCCAGGACACTTATTTAATCCCCCAGATAAGCCAGTTAGCTTTGCTGGGGTCTAATGTGACAATCTGTACTTGTCATCATACCTCCTGTGGCAAGACTAACACTGCCTTAAAACCACATATCAGAACAGAGGAACAACACGATAATAACATCATTGTACGCATGCATGATCCCCATCCTTACAAACTGAGCAGCATGGGTTTCCTTACCTCGGTCCATTACTGTCTTTTCTTCTAGATGAACAGTTGCCTTGCTCAGCTTTGGCTCGCTGATCTGGGAACTCATTTGCGTTCCTATCTACAACTTCTCCAGCATCAAGTGCTCTGTGGAGTCGATAGTTGACCATCTTCAGAACAATGAAAACAGCAGCTATCACAGGACAATAAACTGCTACTATAATCATTGAAGAAGGAAGAGCCTTTAAGAGAAAGAAAATATACGCATTTAAAAATATTTTATATTTTATTCAATTAGAGAAATCTGTAACTAAAATGACACACACACACATTCACACACAAAACAACAATCATGTTATTACTAGCACTAAAAGTGTAAGACAGCACTGCCCAAAACAGTAGCCACTAGCTACATGCAGCTATTGAGTATCTAAGATATGGTTAGTATGAACTGAGATGTGCACTAAGAATAAAATAACACTGGATTTTGGAGATTAATTATGAGAAAAAAATGTAAATCTCAATTTTCATATTGATTACACAATGAAATAATGTTTAATTATACCGGGTTAAATAAAGTACACTACTAAACTTATTTTCATCTGTTTCTTTTTACTTATTTTTAATGTGGCTACTAGAAAATTTTAAATTACATATGTGGCTTGTGTTACGCTTCCACTGGAGAGCACAGTATAAAGTCCATGCCTAAAAGCTTGTGATACAATTGGAGAGTTAGGTATCACATTACATAATACATGAGTAAGACAAGATTGTGGTCCAAATATATATATAAACCCTATTTATGTGGTCTCTGTAACTCTCTTCAGGATATAAACATTCTTTGCGTTCTAGAAAGTTCTTCTGGTTAAAACTGTTAGAAGAATAACCTTTGAATTGTGACTGAAAATTCAGATAAGACATGGGAGACATGCAAAATCCAAACACGGTTTCTTTTAAAATACTTGAAAATTGTCGCCTGACAAATTAAAAAAAGAATACAGAACAGAATCAAGCAAAAAAAACAGATTAACTGAAAAAACTCAGAAGCTTCCTGGGCACGAGGATTGCAGACCCATCACACCTGAGGATCTGCTGATGTGGGTCCAGGGGTGACAGGCCTGGAGACCACCCCACTTGTAAGGCATGGCCTCAGAGATACTACTGGCAGAGACTATAAAACTAGACTCAATTTATGCCCAGTTTCACGAGACACAAATCACTCCCGGTGTCTATCGCTCTAAATTTCATAAGATTTAACCTCAGTCATCTGAGAACACAGCTCCAAATTTGCTTGGAAAGGTTACTTTGAATTGCTTGAGATGGTGAAACTAAAAAGGTCCTGGTGAACCAGGTGGGTTCAGAAGACAAACATGATAAAAGTTAAAAAAAAAAAAAAAGAAAGTTATTTGGTAGGGAGAGAGAAGGAAAATGTGGGTTGGAATTGGGAGGGGGAAAAAAAAGTAAATCAAGCCCACAGTTTACTACTTTCGAGTTGGATGTTCTATTTTCTACTCAAACTTACCCATTTATTTTATACCCTATGGTTTAAATGTGTAAGCCCTGTCAATGGTTACTCTGGAGGTTTCTAGGTGACAGAGGAGAGCTGTGCTATAAGTTTCACTTTTCCCAGGAGGGATAAAAATGTATGGACACACACTGGGCTGTTGTGTGACTTTATTCAAACTTGTTCTCTACTTACATTACTTCACTGGGCTCTCAGCTGACCCCAGTACAGCTCAAGATACTAGTGATCATAAATGAATCATAAACCTTCCCTGTAACTACCTTACTAATATTACAAGAAAATTTTAAATGGTGTCTGCCTTTACATAATTTCAGTGTGGTTCCCCTAAAATCAAACACCAAACAATTGAAGACCAGTTAGGACACCTATTCCTCAGTTTTATGATTATATACCAAAAGTGCAAACCAAGTAGCATTTACTATTTGCTTTTATATTTTATTAGATATATTGATACTGTGTTTTCAAAGAAAGATTTTCAAAAACATTCGTAATTCTATTATCAACAAGCATCAGCGCATGGGAAAGCTGGTTCTTTACCTGAAAAAAAAAAAGCTTGCACAAGATAAAATTGCTTATTTTTCTGTTAAAAATGCAATTTTTGTATCCCATTCTACAATCCAATTCTAAATTAAAATATCTCTTTTGAAATCTTTTGGCAGGTACCTATTTACGTATTTTTTAAATATTTTAACTTTGTTTTTTTTAAGTTTTTTAAGTAGGCTCCACACCCAACATGGGGCTTGAACTCACCATCCTGACATCGAGTCATATGCTCTACCAACTGAGCCAGCCAGGTGGCCCTGGCAGGTACTTACTGACTTAAGGTTAATTATGTTCTATAACAAACAATACTTTATTTTTTTTAAAGATTTATTTATTTATTTGAAAGAGAGAGAATGAGAGAGAGAGAGCACATGAGAGGAGAGAGGGTCAGAGGGAGAAGCAGGCTCCCTGCCGAGCAGGGAGCCCGATGCGGGACTCGATCCCGGGACTCCAGGATCATGACCTGAGCCGAAGGCAGTCGCTTAACCAACTGAGCCACCCAGGCGCCCATATAATTAGAAGAAAAGCTAAAATATAATTAGAGGTAAAAGCTAAAATTCTAATAGTGATAAAAAGGTTTTCATATTAGTTTTCATCTTTTACAGAGACATGATCTATATTCATCTCAATAATGGATGACTTAGCAAAAGATCAAGTTCTAATCAAGGCAGTTTCTCACCTTACTCCTTATTTGCAAAAAGTTAAAAAATATCTCAGCTCTCAATTACACATCCCTAAGAACGGCATCAAGTATAATGGCTGTTAGATAACTCTAGATATTCAGATCAAATATAGACCCCAGGGGCGCCTGGGTGGCTCAGTCGGTTAAGCGTCTGCCTTCGGCTCAGGTCATGATCCCGGGGTCCTGGGATCGAGTCCCGCATCGGGCTCCCTGCTCAGCGGGGAGCCTGCTTCTCCCTCCGCCTGCTGCTCTCCCTGCTTGTGCGCTCTCTGGCAAATAAATAAATAAATATCTTTAAAAAAACAAACAAATATAATAGACCCCCAAAACAGTGGTAAGCCTCCTTACTGAGATACTCTTTTAATAAGATCATCTCTCTTAAAAGTTGGACGGATAGAAATGCCAATCAAAACTACAATGAAATATTACTACACACCATTAGGATGGCTACTATCAAGGGAGGGAGGAAAGATGAGAAAATAACAAGTGTTGGCAAGGAAGTGGAGAAACTAGAATCTTTGTGCCCTGTTGATAGGAATGTAAAATGGTGCAGCCTCTATGAAAACACTATAGTGGCTCCTCAAAAAATTAAAAAAGTAGAATTACCATGTTTGATCCAGCAATCCTACTTCTGCATACTTATCCAAAAGAATTAAAAGCAGGACCTCAAAGAGATATTTGTACACCGTTGTGTGTGCAAATGTCCATCAGTGGATGATAAACAAAATGTGGTCTACACATATTCTAGAATATTCTTCGCCTTTAAAAGGAAGGAAATCCTGTCATATGCTACAACATAGATGAACCTTGAGGCCATCTGTCAAGTGAAATAACTCAATCACAACAAGACAAAATACTGGGTGATTCCACTTATATGAGGTACCTAAAGTAGTCAGATTCGTAGAAATAGAAAGCAGAATGGTGGTTACCAGAGGCTGTCAAGAGGAAGAAATAGAGAGTTGTTGTTTAATTGGTATAGACTTTGATAGTATGAAAAAGTTCTGAAGATCCAGCGCACAACAATGTGAATATACTTAACATTACCAAATAATACACTTTAAAAAATGTGTTAAAATGGTAAATTTTGTTATGTTCATAGTTTAGTCCCTTAAATTCTGATAGTGTATCCTTAACATAAAAAAAAACAAACTGATAGGTTCAAGCTATTCAACATGCCAAATATATTTCTGATAGGACTCCTAAGACACTTGGAATCACAAAAATAATCATAGTAGATTTATCACAGTCATGAAATAAATTTATCTTACATTTCATTTCAAAAATCAAGTAATTCTCCCCTATGGCTAGCACACTGCATGGCAGAAAAACAATCTTTTATACAATGTGCATCAGCAATGTAAAGACATATGCTCACTATCTGTGTTTTGTGTTAGATTAATAATTTTCACTACTTTGAACACCAGTGAATCAAAATATCTGGAAGCATACAGTTAACAAGTAAGTATTTCCTTAATAAATTTGTAGCTATTCTCAGTCAGAACTGATTTCAATGCAAATTTTCCAGTTCACGTTACAAAGTGATTATCAGCTAATACTTATTAACAACTAACATACTTAGTTATCAACTGACATCTAATACTTAGTGATTACCATGTACCAGGCACATTTCTAAGTGCTTTATGTAAATTAACTCATTTAACCCTCATGATCACTGCATGAAGTCAGCACTGTGATTCTTCTATTTTTACAGATGGGGAAACTCAGGTACAAGGAGATAAGTAACTTGCCCAAGGTCTCAGAATGAGGCATTAAGGAGCAGTTTGACTCCAGACTCCTTGCTCTTAATCATGACACTTACCTGCCTCTAAATCGAAGCCTGGCAAACTTTTTCTGTTTAAAGCCAAACAAAAAATATTTCATGCTTTATAGGTCATAGGATCTGTTGCAACTAAATTCTGCTGTTAGCAGTGTGAAAGCAGCCCTAGACAATACAGACAATATATGAACACACAAGCATGGTGTTTCCCATAAATAAAACTATTTATGGACACTGAAATTTCAATTTCCTATAATTTTCATAGCATGAAATATTACTCTTCGATTTTTTTCCAATCACTAAAATGTTAAAAAAAAAAAAAAGGTGGGGGGCGGGCGCCTGGGTGGCTCAGTCATTAAGCATCTGCCTTTGGCTCAGGTCATAATCCCAGGGTCCTGGGATCGAGCCCCACATCAGGCTCCCTCCTCCACAGGAAGCCTGCTTCTCCTCTCCCACTCTTCCTGCTTGTGTTCCCTCTCTTGCTGTGTCACTGTCAAATAAATAAATAAAATCTTAAAAAAAAAAAAAAAAAGGAGAGGGCACCTGCGTGGTACAGTCAGTTAAGCGACCAACTCTTGGTTTTGGCTCAGGTCATGACCTTAGGGTCATGAGATTGAGCCCCACGTCAGGCTCCACGCTCAGCACAGAGTCTCCTTGGGACACTCTCTCCCTCTCCCTCTGCCCCTCCCCCCCATGCTCTCGCTCCCACTCTCTT